ACACACACACACACACACAAACACACAGAGGCAGTATGAATACCTCTACACAGCCTGAAACCAAGCTACTGAGACAGTTTCTTTGACCTATTTTTAAACTTTTAAATTTTAATGAGTTACCAGCACTTGTAGGTTGAATTTTCACATAAAAATCAGGATTTCTGGATTTTATTGAAAAATGGAACGATCTCAAAAACTAGGTACTTATTCTCCCAGAGAAATTGGTTGGATTTGACTATCAAATGCTCCTTTCAGGTGAAGTTAACGCGCCCTTATCCATCATCGTACCTCCCACCATTTTCTTAGGCTCAGCTTGTATAATTTATATTTTCTCACCACTGTAGGCATCTGGGTTTACGAGCCCTTCTCCAGACACACGGCTCAGTTCTCTATTACACACTATGTAATTTCAAGCATCCGTGTCTTTGCCTTTCACTTTGCCTAGAAAGTCCTTTGCTTTCTCCAAAAGCACTCCTACTCCCCTACACCGCTTCGATTCCTTTCACTAGCTTTTTCTGACCGCGCCTTCAACCGCGTCACCGCAGCATTCTGGTCATATCTCTATTTAAACCCTAATTACACGGTTTGGACCAGGTTCTCTCCTTCGCTCTGGCGTTCGCTCCTTGAAGCCAGCGGCCCACGACTAATTTATTTTCGTGTCCTCAGCTCCACGTCCACGGCCTGGCACCTAAACCCAGGCGTTCAGTTCGCGTTTGCGGAAGTCCGTCTTCTTCCTTTACGGCAAACCTAAGCTAAACTATCCAGTATTACGGCCACAGAAGTGGGGGTGGGGGGGAAACGCAGACAAGCCCAACAAGTGGATCCCGGCCAAGAGGAAGGCGCACGCCAGCACACTCGCAAGCAAACGCTGCCGGGTAAACTTCGCCGCCACCGCCGCTGCAGTTCCCTCTCGCGAAATTTGGCCTGAGAACCAGCCCGTCAGCCCCGGAGACCATTCGTGCGGCCACTCAGCTCTCTGGCCCGAGCCTTTCCGGTGCTGTGCCCCGGAAGCGGAAGTGCGATCTGTAGTCCGTCGGAGTCTGTGTGTTCCTCGGTGGTCGCGGAATCCGGGGAAGTCGTTTTCGCTTCACTTTTCCTGGCTCTAGAGCGCTTCCTCCCCAGCGGGTGGGAGTGCAGGGACGAAGGTGCGAGATGAGCACCATGTTCGCGGACACTCTACTCATCGTTTTTATCTCTGTGTGCACGGCTCTGCTTGCCGAGGGTGAGAGCGGCAGTTTCTCTTGACGTTTGATCAATCCCAGGGAAGTGGGGTCGCTGGGCCCCTCGCGCCCCCAGGGGAAAGATCGCGAGCCTTATCTGCTTGGGGGTCTTGTTTGCTCTACTTCAGGAAATCGCTGGGCAACTCGTGAACAGAAGCGGGAGGGGTTGTGTGGAATTGATTTCCGAATTTCCTGTGGTCTAAGATAGTTTCCATTTGGGTATATATGGAGACACCTTCACATCATGTTACAGTTATTTTGGCTGAAGAGTCAGTTGTATTAACATTTGAAAAAACAACTACAGGTAAATGCAGAGCAAAAAGTTGGATTCCTCCTTCTACAGTAACCACTGATAACAGTTTGTTGTTATCGTTCCAAACTTTTCTCTATTAGCATGTTGCTTTTAATGTTCTAGGTATAACCTGGGTCCTGGTGTACAGGACAGACAAATACAAGAGACTGAAGGCGGAAGTGGAAAAACAGAGTAAAAAATGTAAGTATGGCAACACAGTAGAAATAGTTGCAACACCTCAAGCTCATCGAGTGCAAGTTCACAGTAAATATTTCAGGAGCACCACCTGATACAAAAACTTAATAGGAATGCAAAGATGAATCCGACTTGAATTGAAGTCTATTTGGAAATAGAAGACTTTTATGCAAAATATGTAATACCAACTAGAGGGGAGTGAGGGACATGCAGGCACATGTTACGTGCTGTGGTGGTTCTAAAGAAGAGGTCCTATTGAGTTGTGAGGGACCATGGAAGCTTTCATGGTGCAGATGGCCT